TACGCGGAAGCTCAACGACACCGCCGTGTGGACGCTGCATTACTGACCGCAAGAGGCAGTTCTAGCAACTGAATATCCCTTTTATGTCTCCGCGCATGCGCAGCGAATATATTATATCAACAAAGGTAACCGTTTGACCTCGTAATGACCGTGAAGGCATAAGTTCCCAGTGGTGTCAACGGGTTCAGTCCTTTTTCATCTCTTCGCTGCACAAGGTTACTACTTATGAGTAGAAGCCAAGCTCGGCTTATTGAAACTTGATCTAGCCTCATCGCTACCTGTACCTTTTGGATCGTCTCGATCGGGCTTGCGTGATAGAACGCCGCCCTCCAAAGCTGCGACGAGCTGTCGCCCGCCCATAGGGGACCGGGTGTTCACCGCTTCCTGGACTCCCAGGTGCTCAGACCGGTAAGAGCGGACGCTCCTGCACGTCAGTCGGTGAACAGTGCCATTTATTGTTGATTGTGCTATCATATTCTCAAGCTTAATAGATAATTGTGTCCAAGTTAGCCGAGTACTCTCGCTGCAAGCTAACTGTACTGCAGCTAGTGAAGAGAGCTTTCTCGGCTCCATCCTACTACACACATTTGGTTCCTTACCTGTTCCATCCTGCGCAGTTAGCTGAGTCGCTCTCGTCAAAGCTAAACTGTACGTACGCTAGTGAAGAGAGTGTCTTCGCTCCCCTCTGCAGGCATCACCAATTGGTTCCTGTTCCATTCTCCAGTTAGCTGAGTGCTCTCGCTCAAGCTAACTCGTTACGGGCGCCTAGTAAGAGAGTGTCTCTTTCCCCCTTTCGATGGGCGCATAATGGTTCCTGTTCGCATCCTCATCCAGTTAGCTGAGTGCTCTCGCTCAAAAGCTAATTGATAGCAGCGCTAGTGAAGAGGGTGTCCACCGCTTTCGCTCTCAACTGCACCACAGTTGGTTATAACCGTTCCACCTTCAGTTAGCAGAGTGCCTCGCTCAGGCTAACTGCCTAGAGCAAAGTGGAGAGAGTATCCCGCTCTCCTCTCACGGCATACAGTATAGTACCGTTTAACTGACCGTTTTTTTAATTTTCTCACCACACCAGTTAGCAGAGCGCTCAACAACTCAACCTAACGAACATTGTGCTCACTCCCCTCCACTGCATATATTGTTTCCGTGGCCCGGTTATTTACAGTCAGCTGAGTGCTCATCGCCGGCTCACCATGGTGCCCACCATGGGCCTCAGCGTCCCAACGAGGGAGGCCGGCCCGCTAACCGTTTTCTCTGTTAACTCAACGCCCCCCAAGCAGCCTCGGCATCCGGGCCTACCGTCGCCCCCCCCAGAGCCTCCAAGGCCGGGGGCAAGTACTGAAAGGGTCCTGGGGCCGGTGTCGTTAATTCCCCAGAAGCAGCTCAACTAACTTGTAGCTCCAGCTCAGACCCCTGGGTTGGTTTCTACCTTAAACCCAAGGGTACAAGCTCAAGTTCCGACACCGGCCCCAGCCTTCAGCCGGGGTCAAATGACAACCATAAAGCGACCCGGCAAAAAGAAGTCGCCCTAAACCAGGAGCTTGTCAGTACTCCATTGCCCAAAGGGTGCAATCGAGCCTGTGGACCCCATCTCACAGCCCGGGGCTTCCTACTCGACCCCTACTTCCTGGTAAGGAAGAAAGGCGGTGGACTTCGCCCTAATCCTCGATCTGAGGGGACTTCAACAAGTTCCTAACAGATTTTACTTTTCCATATGCTGAACACAGGCGAAGTTCTTTCGTACCGTTGCCAGGGGGGAATGGTCACGTGCCGTAGACTGAAGGACTCTTATTTTCATGTGCCTATTGTGCCATCATCACAGGCAGTTTCTTCACTTTGCCCTTCAAGAGGCTGTCATTTCCTAGTCAGTGGTGCGCCCATGCTCGGAATCTCCCTCTCCCCCAAGGGTGTTCACCAGGTGTGTCGCGGCAGAGCCCTCTCGCTCACTGCAGTCTCAGGGTATGAAGATTTCGCCATACTTAAGAACGACTGTGTTGATCTGTGCACCATCGCCCTGGTTGCGTCTACCAGAACAACGGCCTCTCCCTTTCTCTCACATCAATGTGGTCCGGTCTAGGCCTCAAAGGTGAACATGGAGAAAGGAGTTTGTCTGACCCCTCCTCAGAGCCTAACCTTCAATTGATGTGGCTCTGGACATCATCAGCTATGCGGGCCTGAACGACATCCTCCAGCTCCTCCCCTTCAAAAGGGGTCAGTTCTCTGGCATATATTATTTTCTCCTTGCCCCTGCAGAAGATGGCTGAACGGCCCTCCACTAGACCCCAAGTGCACAAGGCACAGAAAAATCAGGGTGTCACAATGAAGGGAGAGGTCGTATTAATGTCAAGGGGCGTGGGCCATGGGCCCATATCCCTTTTCCGCAGAGAGACGCGTTAGCGACGGATTGCGCAGCCTCTCGCAGCGGGTGCGGTGTGGCAAAACAGGACAGTCTTGTGGGCAGTGTCTGTTAAGTGACTGCACAAGAACACATCAAGTGCAGAGCTACGAGCTGTGCACCATAAACAATACAAATTGAGGGGGGAGGCATGTGCTTGTCCCTCGGACAACACTACAATAGTGTATCAACGATAACACCAGGGGGGCACCAAATCTGCACGCTGTGCTAGAGGTTCCCAGACTCTGAACCTGGGCAGTCTCTTGCCTGGGCCAGCCTACTCAATGTACCTGCTCGGAGAGGCAGCAACCAAGTCGCCGGCTTCCTCTCCTCCCCGTCACAAAGCCTCCACCGGGGGATGTGCGCTCATCCAGAGGTGGTGCCCGGGCATCTGGGTTCTCTTCAGCAGGGAGAAAGGTAGATTCTTCTTTGCCTTCGAAGATGCGAACCCACTGCCCCTCGACCCAGCCAAAGGAGAAGACCACGGACCACCCTTTTGGGTCAGAGACGCCTGGCTCATTTCATGGCCATGGTGTCTTCTCTATGCCTTTTTCCACCCTTCTCTGATCCTACCAACACCTACTCAGAGTGCTTCATCAGGCATCCAGGGCTTCTCTGGTGGCCCCCATTCTGGCCAGCCAGAGACTTGGTTCCCCATGTGCACAGACTCTGCTGCGGAGGCCCCTTTGGCATGTCCCCAACAGGAAGGACTCTTTTTTCAGGCTGGAGGAATCTGATGTGGCACCCCGACCCCTGCCGCCTCCCAGCTGGTGGGGTCTGGGCACTGGAGGCCTGATCCGCTGCTGAGCGACGCATACGAGCACCTGTCTAATGCAAGGGCAGCCAATTTACTCGTAGGTTCAGTACGAAAACAGGTGTAAACTGTTTTCTGACTGGTGCCATAGGGCAGAATGAGGGCTCCAGTAACATTGCTGCGCGTGCCTACAATCTTTGAGTCCTGCAGTCCCTCCTTGGAGCGACGGGCCGGTGTCCCGCTACCTGTCAGGGTGGTATGTGGCCTCTACATCAGCTTCAACACGCAAGGTTGACAACAACAAGTGAAGCCATAGGTCTGGTAGGGAGCTCTGATTGCTCGCCCCCGAACATCCACAAAGGGCTTCCTACATGGTACTATTTTGGTGCTGGATGCCCTATGCTCGCCCCTTTGAACCCCTTGTCACAGGCGAACTGAGGTGGCTCTCAGCCTAAGACTTTGCTTTTCTTCTTGCCATCACCTCAGCAAAGCGTGTAATGCGATGCTTTCAGGCCTTGTCCGTGGACAGCTCATGCCTGAGGGTGGAATCTCAGATGGCTCAGGTGTACACCTTAATGGCCGGAATACAGCGTTCTCCCTAAGGTGCTGGCACGCTCTTCATTTTAATTGGCCTATACAGCTGGCAAGGTTTTTGACGCCCCCAATCAGGAGAAGGGGGAAGGAGGTCAAGACTCCTATGCCCGGTGACGGGCCCTTAGAGCTATGTCCCGATACCGCAGGCATACTCAGGTCTGCCTACCGTCCGCCTTGCCACCCAGAGTAAAGTGCCACTCTACCAGAAGTGTCTCCACGTCATTGGTGACCTTGAGAGGTGTGACCCTGGATGACATATATGCCGCGGCCACATGGGCATCCCCGAGCACATTCGCCAGATACTACAGGGTGAATGTTGCCGCCCCTCACCCGCTGGGTGTGGTCCTCCTGCAGAGTCCACCTAGGCCATCCCTATAGGGTAAGTATTCAGACTTCCTTGTGACTCTGTTGATATAAGTCATCCAGTGCTAAGCACCGCCTCTGCCAGTCAGTAAGGATGAAATAGAACAATAGTCACGTATGTAACTACGGTTCTATGAATCCTGGATGACCGCCAGAGTTCTTGGTCACTCGGAATCTCGTGTTCCCGCTAGAAGATTCCATAGGACTGAACTCGTTGACAACACCGGAACTTATGCCTTCCGGGGTCATACGAGGTCTAATAAATATTCGACCTGCGCATGCGCGAGACAGAAGATATTCAGTGCTATGTATCGCCTCTGGCGGTCATCCAGGATTCATAGAACCGTAGTTACATACGTAACTACCAATTGTTTTACAAAATAAAAAATGAAATAAAAAAACTATATATAGTTATAAATTAACTATATTTATTTCACTTGATGTACATATTGCGATTTCCTACTTTATATTCTGCTAGTAGCTAGTATGGGAAGGAAACGTGTTTAATATAAAGATTTGAACTGGGTGTTGATGCTCAATGTGCTTTCTATATAAATATATTTACACGTGTGACACCTTTCTGACTGACTGCTCTTGCCTGACAGATCCTCCTGCAGGGAAAGAACCCGGGTGTGGTGTGGGAGTACACCCTGCCGCGCACTGAGAGGAAACCCGACTACAACTGGGGCGTAGTGCGCTCCGACTGCTCTGCTCCCTGTGCTGGAGGTGAGACTGTGTGTGTTTGTTTGTACACTAGACCTGTACATGTGTGTTTTAAGGATGAATCTAGAAGTGTGTGACATTGTTTCGGGTTCATGAATAGAGAGTTTTCCCCTTTTAACACCAGTTTTCCTTTAATTGCTTAGCAACCGTAACTTGATTGAAATTATAACGTGTACGGTTTCAAAATTGTTGCTGACTCTTTGCCGGAGACTACAGCTCAAAGGCTGTTACAAACTTTGGCCGTTAGAAAGTGGCATCACTTTTTTTATCTTTATATTGTACTATGAAGTATATACAAGCACAATTGTCTTCATTTAGCTGAATACGTAATAATGTAAAACAAGGATTATTATTTTATCTAAATTAAGAAAACTATCAAACATTTTTAGAATCTCTACATTTAATTTAACATTGTAGACTCCTTATGGTCTGTGTGACAAATGTAACAGTTAACAGCAAATGAAGGGGGCGTCGCCTAGCAAATAGTCAATCGACATTAAAAAAGCATTAGAAATACCTGCTTATTCAAGGGTGTACTTGAGTAAGAATGTATTCATATGTTTGTATATGTTGTGTTTGTGTAAATGAGCTATTGTTTTGTTTATAGGATGATGAAAAGCACCTTTGTCAACCGAGAAGTTTAAACTT